TCGACATTGTTGCTGTAATAACTTCGTTTACTGTAATTTTTCTTAAAATTTGATGTCGCAATCGTTTATAGAGCACTCAAATTAACATCAGTTCGTGAAAATAGAATAAATGATATTATCAATATTTACGATCCAAGTATTCAATGCACAGACAATTTGTTATTCCTCTGATTTATATGCATGGTCGATTCTCATAAAAATCCTCGCCAATACTGTAGTATGTGTGAAAAGCTATCTACTTTTACGCGAAAAAATTGATTTACGAAGGAATTTAGCAAATTTTATTTCGTATCTCAATTCAAATAAAAACTTCACATGGTATAATCAATAGCGTAGTCAGGATCTCATGAGTGCTTAGATCGCGCCTCATCTTAGTGATGATATACAATTCAGAATAAAAAAAAAACTGAAAGTTTTCAAAATATGGCTGTTTGTTGGACACTGCTCAGCAAGGTCAATCCTTGATTACGTTATTAATTTGAATTTATAGCATCACGATTAGTGTCAATAAAAGAAGAAAAATGTTAAGGTTGAAGTGAATAGCCATAGAAGATGATCGTCGAGTAGTCGTAGTTGTCGAATTTGATGAGGACACTGTTGTAGTCGAGTTTGATGAGGAGACTGTCGTGCTTGAATTCGTCGAGTTACTGAGCAATGCTAGTGCATAGGATGACATTGTATAGTTTGATGGACCATTTGTAGTGCAATTTGGACCGAATGAAGGATAGTTTGCAGGGCCAAAGCAACCAGCAAGATATGGATAAGTTGATGTTGCAAAATAGGCGTAATTTCCGTTTGAATCATAAAACATTCCGTTACAAGCATCAAAACCTGATGTAACACGTGTGCCCGCAGATAAATAGGGTCCGTAAATAACGTGTCCATCTTTTGCCAGACCAATGACTGTTTTAGTTTGATAACTTGAAAATGATGAAATCGAGTAACTTGAAACACTTGAACTACATGCCGAAGTACTTGCACATGATGAAACGTTTCCAGTTGGTGGATTAACTTGACAGCCAGTTGCAATATGATAATGATAAACACCAGATACTTGACAGTGCGCGAGACATGCATCAACTGATTCAGCAGTCCCACCAGCAGGTGGATAGAATGGATCAATATTATTAGCTGAATCTGGACTGAATATCATCACCCCATCGACTGACACACCGCTTGCCGTTGCTAAAAGGGTTGCACCGTAACTAACAAAACCAGAAGCTGAGGGAACGGTGGATACACTTGTTAAGGTACAAATTGTTTGTGAAAGTGTCGATATGCTCGAAAAATTTTGGTTCAATGAATTAATACTGACACTTGGATTGAAATTCACTTCGAAATCGACATTTAATTCAGAGAATGTTCCGGAGGGAACATCGGCACAACGTGGTGGTAGGCCATTTGTTTGAATACGAATTTTAATAGTTCCACTTGCATTTCGACAAACCGCACTTAGTTTTCGTTGCCAAACACAAACGCCATTGATCGTTTGACCCGGGCAAACCAAGCTTGATTGTGAACATGTCACATTGACACCAGTTGTTGCTGTTATGTTCGATGCCGTGTAATTGATTGTTGTACGAAATGATGATGCAACCGCTTGACAATCCGAAAGCGAATTCGATGTTGCCGATTGAACGTTTGCAAAGTGAGCGTAAAACAAAACCAAAGTAATCAAGCAGATTCGTTGAGAAGCCATTTTTGATATTTCTGATGTGTTGTGCGTTTTTTCAATTTGAAAAAACAGCTTTTATACTGGTGATGAAAGAAACGCCTCGAAAGGATAGTTAACAGAATCGAAAGAAAAAAAGTAAACACGAAATCAATGAGAAAAAGCTGCATTTGTGCATCCCGCGCCCACATATTATTCCATATGTTTATCTTGAAGAAATTCTTTTTACTTTATGTCATGACTCGAATCCCCTGAATGAAAAGCTACTTTAGTAAAACAATACTGTGTGAACGTACTTTTGTCAATATTCCTAGTAACCACACGTAAAAGACATTCGAGTAAACTTTACTCTAGAAACAAAAAAGTATTTTGTCATGTTCTACCTGTTCTTGAAGAAGAAAATCAATTCACAGGTTGAATTAAAACATGCGATCAAGCAACAGGCATTTTCATACGACCTCGCCTTTTCCATAGTGTTTGTCGACATTTAGCAGAACATGATGAAATAACCTACTCCGATCCTATGAAAGTGCACATCAACGTATGTTGAGAAAGTATTTTTCTTCGTTTTATATTTAGAACTGAACGCCTGATGTGGATTTTTTCCCGGTATTCTCGTAACTGATTTATGAAATTATATGCACGGTCAATCTTTGTATGGGCTCCGATGGTAATGTTTTCGATTGTTTCGGTTAATGTCCATATTCTTCGGTAACGTCGCTATGATTCGTTTTCGAACGCCCATGAAGTGCAGCATTAACGAAATGGCAATACTTCACTCATGCAAATATTGTTTTTATCAACAACAGTTAGAAAAGCAAAGAAAAACATTTTATATAAAACCATAGAAGTGCTTGTTTGGTCATGTCGATCATCGCTTGCATCTACTTTGGCCTGAAAAACAATGTGCACATGTACACAGTGAACGAAAGAGATAGTCGAGGGCATATTCGAAAACGAAGATTTTGTTTCTTTCTTCGACTATACATAAATATCCAAATTATTATATCAGTAAATTTCATTTTAATCATGTCAAGTGAAGAAGCTTGTTCGAAGGAAGAAGTTTTAAATGAAGTCACGGAAAAAATTCAAGAAGAATGTAATTTCACGTTTCAATGCTCAACGTCGTGTCAAAACCTCTTCAATCATTTTGAGTCTTTTTTTGGCGAAGTTTCCAAATGTTCGGCTCGTCCTTGTTTTGTCAAATGGGCTATGAAAAAGATAAAAAAATGTCGATCAGTTGTGATTTTTCGATACACGATCAAAGATTCCGAGTAAACGAACAAACATTTTCTTCTAGATCAATGAATTTTCTATGCTTTACAGCTTTGAAGGATTGTGTGAAATCGATGAAAAGTTGCAAGAATAGATCGAGAAATGGAAAACGAGAGACCCGATCATTTACAAGCATTTCTTCGAATGGTTTTGACCAACCAATCGTTCTGCTACTATCATTTGTTTTTTTCAAGATGTATCTGTTGTTGAAAACAGAGGTTGTATGGTGGATACTTTAGATACTTACGGTGTTTCGTTGCCATGTGAATCTTGCGGAGGAAAAAGTGAAATATTAACAACAATTTGAGCAACTAGGAAAACATCTTTTTGATTTATGTTCCTTCTTGTTTTATCTGAGATATTGACATAGAATTCTCTGTGTTATACGAGTAATGTTGATTTTAGACAGCTCTTTATTTCAATGAGATTTTGAAAAAAACTCAAAGATGCGAGGAAATTCGCTTTTGCTCGAATTATCTACGGCTGAGCTCAGCAATTTTTGCTTCAATTTCAGGCGACCGTATGGCAAGGTTCCCGTTTTGCTCCAGGTACTTAGGCAATGTCAGAGTAACGTCACCATTATTTCGATATTTTTTCGATCTGCGTTATTTATTTATGTGACACCCTGAGGTGCTTACATAGGAACAAGAAGGAAGGAAAAAAGAAAGAATTAAGGAAAAATGTACCATGCATGACCAAGAGGATAGGACAACACAAAGAGAGTAATTTCTTTAGAGAAGGTGCAATGTCTCATCCTGTCATAATTGGGGTTACTCCTCTACTTGTTGCGTTGGGACTCCATTCGTGGGTACCTTAACTTGATTGGTCTGTATTTTTAATTTGCTATTTTTCTAGTGCGAAATCTATCCATTTGATTAAAATTGTTTCTTGTCTGCTCAGCAGCCTTTTCACTCTTCGCAGTCTGAAAAAATGGCCTAGGGCATCATTCTTTTCTTTTTTGAGCTTATCCCAGTAGAAAATATCGAATAAAAAGGGCGATCGACCGAGATCCGATCGATCGATATTTCTCAATCTTTTCTTTATAAATCGTTGCGCGTATACTTGTAATGGTTCTTCTTTCGTTACCATGTGTAAATCAGTTGCTGAGACGTAGGGACAATGGTGAACTAGTCTGATTGCTACTCGAAATTTTCGATCAAGCGCTTCTCTTTGAGATGGTGGTAGGACAGGGTAAAAAGGAAATATCCACGCTAGATGCGGGAATACATAGGCAAACATACATTGTCTTAGGACTGGCACCGTGATGTTTCTGCCTTTTCGCAACCATTTTAGTTTATTTAGGGCTCCTTGAGCTTTTGCCAAGCATTGATCTATCGTTGGTTTTAAGGACATTTTACTGGTCCAAGTAAAGCCTAGATATTTAAATTCCTTAACTAAATTTAGTTTTATTCCATCCATAAGGATAGTCATACTGGGACACGTGATTTGNTCGACATTGTTGCTGTAATAACTTCGTTTACTGTAATTTTTCTTAAAATTTGATGTCGCAATCGTTTATAGAGCACTCAAATTAACATCAGTTCGTGAAAATAGAATAAATGATATTATCATTATTTACGATCCAAGTATTGAATGCACAGACAATTTGTTATAACTATGATTTATATGCATGGTCGACTCTCATGAAAATCCTCGCCAATACTGGAGTATGTATGAAAAGCTATCTGCTTTTACGTGAAAAATTCGATTAACGAAGGAGTTCAGCAAGTTTTATTTCGTTTTTTTAATTAAAATAAAAATTTTTCATGGTATAACCAATAGCGTAGTCAGGATCTCATGAGTGGTTAGATCGCGCCTCATCTTAGTAATGATAGACAGTCCAGAATATTAAAAAAACTGAAAGTTCTCAAAATATGCCTGTTTATTGGACACTGCTAAGCAAGATCAATCCTTGACTACGTTATTAATTTCAATTTATAGCATCACGATGAGTGTAAATAAAAGAAGAAAAATGTTAAGGTTGAAGTGAATAGCTATAGAAGATGATCGTCGAGTAGTCGTAGTCGTCGAATTTGATGAGGACGCTGTTGTAGTCGAGTTTGATGAGGACATTGTTGTAGTTGAATTCGAAGAGGAGACTGTTGTAGTCGAGTTTGATGAGGACATTGTTGTAGTCGAATTCGATGAGGACATTGTTGTAGTCGAGTTTGATGAGGAGACTGTCGTGCTTGAATTCGTCGAGTTACTCAGCAATGCTAGTGCATAGGATGACATTGTATAGTTTGATGGGCCATTGGTAGTACAATTTGGACCGAATGAAGGATAGTTTGCAGGGCCAAAGCAACCAACAAGATACGGATAAGTTGATGTTGCAAAATAGGCGTAATTTCCGTTTGAATCATAAAACATTCCGTTACAAGCATCAAAACCTGATGTAACACGTGTGCCCGAAGATAAATAGGGTCCGTAAATAACGTGTCCATCTTTTGCCAGACCAATGACTGTTTTAGTTTGATAACTTGAAAATGATGAAATCGAGTAACTTGAAACACTTGAACTACATGCCGAAGTACTTGCACATGATGAAACGTTTCCAGTTGGTGGATTAACTTGACAGCCAGTTGCAATATGATAATGATAAACTCCAGATACTTGACAGTGCGCGAGACAAGCATCAACTGATTCAGCAGTTCCACCGGCGGGTGGATAGAATGGATCAATATTATTAGCTGAATCTGGACTGAATATCATCACTCCATCGACTGACACACCGCTTGCCGTTGATAAAAGGGTTGCACCGTAACTAACAAAACCAGAAGCTGAGGGAACGGTTGATACACTTGTTAAGGTACAAATTGTTTGTGAAAGTGTCGATATGCTCGAGAAATTTTGATTCAAGGAATTAATACTGACACTTGGATTGAAATTCACTTCGAAATCGACATTTAATTCAGCGAATGTTCCGGAAGGAACATCGGCACAACGTGGTGGTAGACCATTTGTTTGAATACGAATCTTAATAGTTCCACTTGCATTTCGACAAACCGCACTTAGTTTTCGTTGCCAAACACAAACGCCATTGATCGTTTGACCCGGGCAAACCAAGCCTGATTGTGAACATGTCACATTGACACCAGTTGTTGCTGTTATATTCGATGCCGTGTAATTGATTGTTGTACGAAATGATGATGCAACCGCTTGACAATCCGAAAGCGAATTCGATGTTGCCGATTGAACGTTTGTAAAGTGAGCGTAGAACAAAACCAAAGTAATCAAACAGATTCGTTCAGAAGCCATTTTTGATATTTGTGATGTGTTGTGCGTTTTTTCAATTTGAAACAGCAGCTTTTATACTGGTGAAGAAAGAAACGCCTCGAAAGGATAGTCAACAGAATCGAAAGAAAAAAGTAAACACGAAATCAATGAGAATAAGCTGCAGTTGTGCATCCCGCGCCCACATATTATTCCATATGTTTGTCTTGAAAAAATTTCTTTTTACTTTATGTCATGACTCGAATCCCCTGTATGAACAACTACTTCAGTAAAACAATGCTGTGTCAAAGTACTTTTGTCAATATTCCTAGTAACTACACATCAAAAACATTCGGGTAAACTTTACTTTAGAAACAAAACAATATTTTGTCATGCTCTGCCTCTTCTTGTAGAAGAAAAACAATTCACAGGTTGAATTAACACATGCGATCAAGCAATAGGCATTTTCATACGACCTTGCCTCTTTCACAGTGTGTGCCGAAAGATAGCAGAATAGGATGAAATAACCTACTCCGGTCCTATGAAAGTTCACATCAACGTATATTCAGGAAGTATTTTCCCCCGGTATTTTCGTAATTGATTTATGAAATTATATGCACGGTCAATCTCTGTATGAGCACCGATGGTAATGTTTTCAATTGTTTCAGTTAATGTCCATATTCTTCGGCAACGTCGCTATAATTCGTTTTCAGACGCCCATGAAGTACAGCACTAATAGAATGGTAATGCTTCACTCAAATATTGTTCTTATCGACAACAGTTAGAAAAGCAAAGAAAAACATTTTAAATGAAACCATAGAAGTGTTGATTTGGTCATGTCAATCATCGCTTGCATCTATTTTGGCATGGAAAACAATGTGCACATATACACAATGGACGAAAGAGATTTGAAGCCGAAGATTTGTTTCTCGCTTCGACTCTACATGAATATCCAAATGATTCCATCAGTAAATTTCATTTTAATAATCATGTCAAGTGAAGAAGCTTATTTGGACGAAGAAGTTTTAAATGAAGCCACGGAACAAAATCTGAAAAGGATGCAATTTCACGTGTCAAATGTTCGGTTCGTCCTTGTTTTGTCAGATGGGCTATGAAAAACATAAAAATGTCGATCAGTTGTGATTTTTCGATACACGATCAAAGATTTCAAGTAAGCGAACAAACGTTTTCTTCTAGAACAATGAATTTTCTATGCTTTGCAGCTTTGAAGAATTGTGTGAAATCGATGAAGAGTTACAAGAATAAATCGAGAAATGGAAATCAATCGGTGAACACGAGACATTCAATCATTTATAAGCATTTTTTCGAACAGCTTTGACCAACCAATTGTTCTGCTACTATCATTCGTTTTGTCGAGATACAGTATCTGTTGCTGAAAACAGAGGCTGTATGGTGGATACTTTAGGTATTTACGGTGTTTCGTTGCAATGTAAATCTTCCGGAGGAAAAAGTGGGATATTGACAACGATCTGAGCAACCAGGAAAACATTTGTTTGATTTACGTCCGTTGTTTTATCTTAGATATATTGATATAGAATTCTCTGGACTATACGAGTAATGTTGGTTTTGAAAAAAAACCGCGAAGATAGGAGAAGATTTTCGTATTGAGTCAATGGTTTTGTTTTCTATTCGAAAAATTTGCTTTTGCTCGAATTATCCACGGCTGGGTTCAGCAATTTTTGCTTCGATTTCAGACGGCCATATGACAATGTTCGCGTTTTGCTCCAGGTACTTCACAATGTCAGCGTAACGTCACCATTATTTCGATATTCTGCGAGGTTGAGTGCGTAAACACATGGTTTACCGCCCCAATAAGCAAAAATCGAACCTCCACTAGATCCTCGTCCCGCATCGCAATCGCGTAAGAAAAGATCATCTATCACTTTGATTATCTTGCAATTGGTAACTACTCCTAAAATTAGCCGAATAGCCGACCAGGAATCCACACAATTGTTTGAGAGTAGTACTGGAAACGGTTTTTACACCTAACGTACCTTCGATTGTCCATTAATCATATTTGGATAGAAATACACGGGTCCTAGCTGTTGTTTGTGCGTTTTTGAATCGATCACACAGTAGAAAGCTGTGAGAGCTATATTAGATGCCTATATTCAAGAAGGAAAACTTGTGCAATTCTCAAGAGTTCCCGTACCACCCGTACTCAACTTTCCATAATAGTGCTCCAAGGATATTCAGTGCTCGTCACAGCAATCCGATCATCAACGCCGAAGACACTTCTCGTCGCCATCACACCGGCGACCGATCAAGCATGGTGACCAGCGCTTTTGACTTGATCACTGCGATCCTAAATCTGCATGAATTAAAGAGACCGAAATGAAGACAAGAACAGCAGCGATTATGGTTCGAGGCATAGTAGATTGCTAACTTGTATCGTTAACTGTAGCCAAATAACAAATGCTCTGCTATTAAATACTCAAGAAATGATTCAGACACCTGTCAGTTTTCTTATTTTCAGGTCATATCAGTAGCGATCCGTTGAAAGCGAATTCTGTCGCGCATGCAAGATTGATTAAGCGACGTGACGATAAAAAGTAATTAAGAAGGAGTCGACACTGATATGTAATAGCCATAAAAAAGCAAGTTTTCTCTCATGTCGTCTTCTGCTTATTCACGATCAGAAATAAATATGGTTTACGTAGTTTTAAAACTCTCGTGACTAAATCGACTAGAAATTTGTCGGATGAAGTTTGTATTTGAAAATTGGATAATAGCACAGCTTTCTGATGCATATAGTGTAAGTGGAAGGTCATGAATGCTATCCATAGGAATCGAATTTGATTGTGAAGTTCTTACAATTTATCGAGACCGCGATAACATTCTGGATGTAGGTGAAACTACAGATCATTCTACCGACAGTATCACCCACGCGGTGTCTTCGCGCACTGCTGTTGATGTTATTCAAAAAGCTTGTCAGCGCAGCCCCTTTGGGGCTAAAATGTGGAACTCACACCCCAGTCAGACAAAAATTTGGAGAAACACGTTTAAACACACAAAAGAGAACCGCGATTGTGAACTATTAACGTTTAGTGGGTTTTTTCCAACTTTCTCAGCGTTTAAACATTAGAATTTTCCTTTTTCCAACGTAGAAACGGTCTTTTAATATGGAATTCTAAAACAAGGCGTTTTCACGCTAGAGAAAGGAAAATTCTAATGTTTAAACGCTGAGAAAGTTGAAAAAAAAACACTAAACGCGTGTTCGAACGTGTTTTAACTAAACGTTAATAGCTCACAATCGCGGTTCTCTTTTGTGTGTTTAAACGCGTTTTTCCAAATTTTTGTCTGACTAGGACGCTTGCATTTGGAAAATGAGATTGTGGATTAGAATAAAATACTTAAGGAGTAAGCTCACTTTAAGATCATCACTCTCAGGCTGGTAGCATTTCTAGTAGTCACACAAGGTATAAGCAGTTGATTCAATTGAAAAATCAAATACACAATTGACTGTCCTTAGTTTAATATAGAAATATTCGGTGAA